CATAATTTGCAGAATTCAAATTATGTTAATCATGATAGTGACCACATAGTGACCAGAACTTTAATTGATGTTGAAGTCTCACATAACTTTTTCACCTTCTCTCATTGAAACGTGTCCATGACCAAAAGAATGGGGAAAACGATCAATAGAATTATGATAATAATAAGAATTTTTATTCCAAAACCAGAAAATTCATTCATTGAATAATAATCATGGTGAATTTTAGTCCAAGTATAAACTCTCATTTCATTGATTTTCCTCTGCAATAATAATAATAATAATCTGAATTATGTAATTCAAATTCTTGTTGTCATTTTGCAAATTCTACACTATCATCATCATGATCATGATGAAAACTAAAAATTTATCATGAAAGTAAAAGGGGAAAAAGCCAATAGATTCTGACAATAATAGTAATAATAATAATCTGTAATTCAAAACCTAAATTTGATGAACACTTATCATTAGAATCAAAGGAAATAATTTTCCGACAGTTATATCATTACAAGTAACAAAGACGATAAATTTTATTCATCTTTCAATCATCATCAAAAATCATCATGTTAATCAATTTATCATCTAGAAATCAACATGAATGTAAACAAATATCATAAGAGGAAACTTCAAAATCTATTGAAGTTTTTCTGGTCAAAATTATTTCATCATGAAATATAGTATTAGTTCATAAATCAAACTTATGGAAAAGAAAAGCAAAAAAAAATTAATACTCAGATTTCATTGGAATGGATTAAATTGTATTCATGATTCATTAATATAAGAATCATTAAAATTGAAACCAATGATAATGAATACATTATTATGACGATGATAATAATAAATTATCACAATCAAAAGTCACGAGAGAGAGAGAGAGAGAGAGAGAGAGAGAGAGAGATTCCGAAAAGTTTTCGTTATCATAATTCCCTGAACAGAGTCAGAACTGTGATGATAATCAGTTAATTATGAAAAATAAACAGTAAACATGGAAACAATCAATTGATTGATGTGCATCACTTTTAACTGTCAAATTGAGGTCAAATTTTTTCCTCTCTCTATCTCTAATTGTAACAATTTAATCATAACAATGAAAGTGATAGCTAATGATTAATTTAGTCTCAAATGAATGATCATCTTAAAAGTTAGGCTTACCCATTGATAAAACAATGTGACATTTTATCTGTATATAAAAAAAAGGTAAATCACAATCAAGCAACTCAATTAACGAAATGAGATAATAAATCATTGGAAAACAATAGAGATCACAAACTAAATTAACAATTACAATGATCAAAAATAATAACGATTGTTCAGATTTAATCATAATGGTGAAATAGACAATAATAGTAATCATAATCATCATCATAATGGTAGGATAGTTAGTTAACTGTAATAAATTTTTTCCTTTCTTGTTGATTGTTAGTTACAATTAAACTTTTATTACTACCTAAACCCTTCAATGTATTAATTAAACGGTTCAATGTTAATTGATTTTTCTGATCACGACTGTTAATTGTTACCTAAATAATACATATGTGAATAAACTGCTAGAAAAGTGAATTACAATTAGCATTTGATTATTAATATGATTGAACTTTTTTCAATCTCATTAACAGAAATTTCTATTGATTTTATCTTGAATTTAATTTCTCTCTCTCTCTCTCTCTCTCTCATTCTTGTTTTCTAATCACTTTTAATCCAGTTCCTTATACACGGATTGCCGGATCAGGAAATGATATAATCGTTTCAGCTGGATCAACAATTAACTTAACATGTATTATATCACAATCACCTAATCCACCTTCATATGTTTTCTGGTATCACAATGATCGCATGATTAACTATGATCTTAATAATGAAGGATTAGGTCAGGTTAGCCTGATTAAAGATCCTATTCAAAGTGATACCTTAATCTCACGATTAACCCTGAGAAATGCTCGTTACAATAGTTCAGGTAATTATACCTGTGCACCATTTAATATTGAACCTTCTTCCATATTTTTACACGTTCTCCAAGGTGAGTTTGAATCTTTATTGTTCAATCAGCTGATTTGAATTTTGATCTCAAGAGAAAAGACAAAATTTCCAAATGAAAATTTGACCTAAATTGTTAATTCCAATTCTTCCCAATAACAAACTTTCTTTAGGTGCGAAGCAACTTTCCCATAATTGGCCTCAAAATGACGAAGGAAGCTCAACAGAATTCACAAGTTCCAATGACGGGCAATCTAATTATAAAATGTTTACAAAATTTTTCCCTTTCAAATCATCTTCATCTTCATCATCATGTTTATCATTTTCACCTCCATTTATCTCTACCTGTTCCATGGTAACATCTAATTTCACAACGATGTTTAAGTTTTTTATACTTGTATTAGCAGCGATACTGAATAACCAATTAATGTACAGTTTTATCACATGAGAATATCCTGAAATCCGATTAAGGTGTATTAATGATAGCAGAAATGTTTCAGTTTTTCAAATTCTCAGAACGAAAAAATAAAAAAAAAATAAATGGTTGATGAAGTATTAATAATAATAATAAATATCGCAAATAATTTGATCAGATATTCATATTGACAACAATTTAAACACAAATTGATTTTCATCCTTTTTTTTATTCAATTTAATTATGCATAAAGTTGACAGTTTCAAACTTTCTCCATGCTAATTGCTGATTGTTGAGACAGTTTTCAACTTTGAAAGGAAAAGTCTAGAATTTCAAGAATTCTGACAAAAAGAATGTGTTCAATTTGAATAATTTGATTTTCCAATGATAAAACCAACCTGATGAAAAAAAGGTAATGTATTTATTGTATTTTAAAAATATGATGAAATAAATGAAATAATATAATACAAATCATGTAATAGCAACTGAATTTATATATTTTTCCAATTGAAGTATGAACAACATTGAATACAAAGACTTCATGAATGTCATTGATTCAAATATTATTCTAATATTATTATTATTGTTTACATTCATGTTTAAATTGGTGATGATATTGGTTGATAATGATGGTTATGAAAAGGAAATACACTTTTTGCTGGATCAATAGATTCATTTTTATTCATCTTCCATAGACAATGTTAATAATAGTGTCTATTCTGAGGTTAAATTCAGTCAAAAGTGGTCATTCAATACCAATAAGTTTCTATTAATGTAAAGATTATTCTCAAGATATTTTTGTTATTGATGAGATTTCGTTTTAAATTCATGGGAAATCAATGAATTACTGGACGATAGATGAGCAAATTGTCGGTTAAATTATTGAGAAAACGTTTGGATTATGAATTTGTTATACATGTACTAGTATTTCCTAATCTTGAATTGAAATGTTTACTACATTTTATTCATAGTATTTCATTAAATGTGTTTCTAATGGTGATTATAATACTGATAATGGTATCAATTTGATTGTGATTTGTTGTATTGATAGAATTCCCTGTCCTGATAACGTAAATGTCAACCAAAATGTTGAGCCTCATTTTGATATAATGCCTCTTCTCCTTTCATAATATCATAATCATAAATGTGATAATGATTGAGGCTGTGTATCTTATTCCTACTGAGGTAATATCTTGAATCGCTTGAAATCCCAATGAATGGAAACATGATGATGGTCAATGATGAAGTTAAAATGTAATCTTGGTTTCTAAATAAAGATCCAGACAAAAAACAAGAGAGAGAGAGAGAGAGAGAGAGATGCGGGGGTGTACGAAGAAAACACGAATGTACAAAAAAGATGAAAAAACGATAAAAAAGTTCGAGATAAAATTTCGTCTACATTTACTCAAAAGCTTATCTCCTGTTCATCTCACAACTATTATTTACAACCAATAAGGAATCATATAAACATCAGAATCAGATTGAGGACAAAAAAGGGATAATATGAAAAAATAACCGTATCAAATGTACAGAAACTGCGAAAGAAATGATGAAATAAAAAGGAAATGCAACTAATATCATCGATATCTGATATTGTTTTGATCATTTTCATCTTGATGGAACTTTTTTTCTTTACATGATGATGATGATGATAATGACAGAAAGATGTTGAGATGATATTGGTTGCAAGAAGCAAAATAATAATTTCTTTTCATTGGGATTTATCCTGATTGGATTGAATGGAGATCATTGGAAACTCATTCTCCTAATAATCATCACTAACAAATCACTATTATCGTTTATTATCCTGGCAATCAAATCGGTGTTTACACCAATAACCACAGATATCACGTCCATTTTCAATTCAGATTATCACCCATTCATGTATTCAGAACAGATTTTCCATCAGAACTTTTTCTTTGTTTCTTCTTGGAAGAAAAAAAAAGTTACTCGATTATAATACAATTCATCATAGTAAAATGAAAGATATAAATACATGATAAAATGTTCACTTCAATGAGATTTCATGGTTCTCATTTTACTTGAGAAAATTAATCAACAAAACTATCGATTGGTAAACAAATCAAAGACTTAATTTGTAGTCGTTTTTTTGTGAGTAATTAATTAGGCAATGATTAGAGATGATTGGAATATGAACAATATATTATTACATGGATTTTGTTATATTGTTTAACAATTTGATTGATTGTTAATCTAATTCAATAATAACTTTAAAAGTCATTGCGATTATCATCAACAAAATGATAATCATCATCATCATCTCAAAGAGATGAGATTGTTAAGATTGATGAGATCAAGTTTTTCCCATTAAAGTGATAAGTCTTATACCATCATGATGATCTTAACTTAATTCAATTCTTAATTCAGCCTTTCCCTGGATAATAAAAGTCCAATAGATTCTGATGATGATTCACTACTATAAGAGTGGGTGGAGGAAAAGTTCAGTAGTAATACTCAGGGAAGGACATGGAAAAAGAAAAAAAAATCTTCATCTTCCGTTGATACACATTCAACTAGATTGTAATGATAAACAAACAATTTTCAGTTCTGGTAGAGAAACAAATCCTCAGTCATTTCAACATGGTGATAATCAATCATTCAAAACAATCTCATGATACATTATATCACCGCCATGAGTTGAATCAACAATATATACACATTTCATGATGAAAAAAAAGTTGAGAAAAAAAAACTCATCGACTTTTGTGAATCTGAAAACAATGTAAATTAGGTCAGACGGATGTAACTATCCCATTATCATATTCATGTATCTTTTTATTATCCCGATCACCATAATGACCACAACCATCCATTTACTCAATTATTATTGCTTGGACATCTAATTTAATCAACTTTGATATCTAATGTACATCCAACTGTATATTAGATTATCAAAGCAAATAAGAAACTGTCAAACAATTTGAAACTCATCTGATGATCAGCTGATTTTTAGAATATGAAAAAGTTTGGAAACAAATGAGAAAAGCAAAAATTTCCAATGTAAAAATCAATGTTGTTCAACCAAATGAAAAGTAATAATCAGTGTATATGAAAATATTACTTAAGTAAATGTTCATGTTCACATTAATAGCTGTTGGTGTTCAGTAACTTTTATATACCATGTGAATATATTACATTATACATGGAGTGAACAACGATTTGGAGTTGCTTTTTTACACCCTTGAGTAACTTTTCCCACCCTTCTCAACCTCCTCTTCCTCTTCATCTTCATCTTCCTCTTTCACTCTTGTACTTTTACCACCTTCTAATAGTATTTTGCTTTTCATTGTAATTTTGTTTCTCTTCTTGTTTTACTATTCCTAATGAGGCTCAAGTGAAACTGATTTGATTGAATCACTTTTCCCAAAACTAATTGAAACAAAATCGATTAGACACAATTAATCGTACACTAATCACCTTATAATATTATCAAGATTAAATTGTTATCCAAGTTAATGATGATTATCTCTAACACTTTCATCTTATCTCTCTTCTTATTATTATCATTTGGGTTTTCTTTGTACATTCACTTTCGATTCCAGGTAAACGAATCAGCTTCATCTTTTCATCTTTTCATCTTCTCCTTAATCTTCCTCTTCTTGTATTCTTAATCATTTCATCTTCTTCCATTCAATTGAAATACTTTCGAAACAAAAAATCAACCTTCCAATCAATGTGATTCTATTATTTCACTCAGAATCACAAGGAAAAAAAATCCACTCACAGGTAGATGAGAATAATTAATCAAGAATTGATAGTAAAGGTTTTCCACTTGATGATTAGACTTAATCACTCGAGAGTATTCAGATTGTAATACATTAATAGATAAGAAACGGATTATCACATTGAAAGAAATTGATTATTTTACCTTAATTCGTATTTATTAAAGATAATCCAAAATGTGGATTAATTTTATGGGCTTTCCAACTGATTAACATGATTAACAATCAATAATCTACAAATCTAATACTCAGGTGGTTCATTATTATTAATAAATTCAATATTATCTTGATGATGAAGTGATAAACTAAGCTCAATTTAATATTTAATGTAGATGATAAACTTTTATATATTATCGGAAAATGTGTTCATGGTCATGATAACTAAACTTTAATCAACTGGAACGAATCTTTTAGATCAGAAAATTGTGTTAAATAGTTTTGATTATTATTTACTATTATATCTTAGAGGATACATTGTAATTGACCATATGAAAAGATCTGATAATCTGTGTTACAATTTCCAATCCTGAGAATGCCAAAAGATTCTCAATGAAAAATTTACGAAAAACCCGAAATTCAATAAACGTTTGAAATTGAAAGTTTATTGTGCTCTAAAGATATGGTTAACCAGTTTTGCTTCCTTGAACATTGTCCATTGAATCAATTTTAGATGGTTAAAAGCTGCTCAGCAAAGTATCATGATCCTGATTGAATTATTGATTCTAGTGAATTGGCGGAGTTGAAATGAGTGGAAGGGGGAAAGGGAAAATTGCTAAATTATTATCATTATTTTCTGTTATATTATTATTTCCATTGAGGGAAAACTCAAAGACAATTTATTACTCGAGAAAAGTAAGGATTTCATGAGATTTTTGGACAGAGTCCAAAAAGAATGAATTTTATTAAACAAAATAACAAAATTTGGATTCCCTGGTGACCATTGAATATGTGACATTATCTTTCGAGTCTTTTGTTGTTTCCTCTTCTCTCACAAACACACACACAGTTCTCAATCTTACTTGGAACTTTTTCATTGTTGATTTTCCATCTCACCATCATCATCATCATGATCATCATTGTCATCTTTGTCTCCTGTCCTTTTCTGTAATCACCATCATGTTAGCGCATCAATTTATCTTCATCTTACTGAATCTTTTCCCCTTTCAACTCTTCCTCCTTTTTGTTTGTTTTACTCTGATTTAAGACTCAACTCTCATGTAATTCATTTAAGTTGCATGAAATTTTATTGCTACTCAACTAACTTACTTAAAATATATTAAACTGAACCAGAATATTGAGGTCACCATGAGACCCATCAAAGCTTCCCTATTGCTCTTTTACTTATCTCTTGGAACTTTTTTTTTCAGTGAGAAAAAAATAAGAATGTGTACAATGATGATGATAGCAAAAGACTCAAGAAAAAATCGGATGAAATATCTTTGGAAAGTGAATGCAATTTCGTTGCC